CTTAATTGAATGGAAATATCACTCTCAAAAATATACTGGTCTGTCAATCGTCATATTTGACTTCTAGTCGTTGTCGAAGTCAAGAGCTGTCGGTTTTCGTGAAAAAAATTCAAATAATCTCGCTGATTTAGTTTTTCGAGAGATTTGTTCTGTAAATATTTTGGTAAGTTTTATTGGCAATCAGTTATGTAATCTAAACTATATTCTTCGAATCGTTTTTATGTTGTATTCTCAATAACACAATATTTGCGTAAGATATAACGGTTTGAACGAGGTGGTAATATACTTAACATTGTGTGTTCGTGCTTTATCAAATATCAGAAAACTATATAAAAAGTGTTTTAGTTTGGATTGGTTAGTTCAAGTTTGATATTTTCGCTTCTTTTTAGATTTTGAAATGGCTGCGAGGAAAAGGAAAGTTTTCATAAACGATACAAAGAAACTAGAAAGTATCATTAACAATCAAGATGATTTGTCCGATGATTTGTAGAATGAAATTGGACGAAGCGAAACAAGTATGTAAGGATCGTAGCAAGTGGAAAGCAGTGGTCTCTGCCTACCCCTACGGGAAAGAGGCGTGATTATATGTATGTATGTATGATTTGTCTCATTTGTCAGACACAGACGAAGATGATAATCCAATATATGGAGACCACAACCTCAGTAGTCCATCGGATTTATATTTAACTCTGTCAGACGACAAACTAATTGAAAAACGTTTAGAGGAAATTTTTAGCCTAGATTTAAATAACCTAATGGTGGAACCGGATAGAGAATAAAATATGACAGATGACTCTCTAATTGAAGTGCTATCACCTCAGCTTCCGCGTAAAAATGCTCCAACAAAAACCGAACGAAAATGCGGACCGTCTTTTTAAATGAAGGGTAACTGAAAAAATTGTGTCTAGCGTCTCCTGCTCCACTTATCTCTGTTGCTGAAAGTTCCCCTACCTCCACGGCAACATATTCACTTGTTTTTGCTCCTGAAAACCCACAAAGACCTGCAACTCTACCCTCAGCCCTACATGCTTCTAATTATACCTCACCGACACCATGTACTAGTAAAAGAGAGCAAAATATTCCATCGCTAATTGATCCACCTTTAATATTTCTGTTGCTATAATTCCACAAAGGTCTGCAATTGAACGTCCACCGTCAATTTCTTCTGCGTCACCAACACAACCCTTTCGTGAAGTAGAGAAAAATAGTTAGTCGCCAATAGATCCACTTATTTCTGCTGCTACAGGTCCATACAGGTCTGCAACTCTGCCATCAGCACTCAGAGCCTTTACCTCAGCGACATAATCGAATAGTAGAACAGAGAAAATAGTCAAAATAATCCATTGCTCATTGATCCACTTGTAGCTTCTGCTTCAGTAAGTCCAGACAGGCCTGCAATCACACCTTCAGCACCAAGTCCCTCTGCGTCACTGGCTTTCGTCATCAACCGATCCACTTATTTCGAGGGCTGTAAGATCATCACAAATAATTACTGTTTTGAATGAAATTAGATTTGAAGATGTAATACCAGAACACTCCAACCATAACCCCGTACTACCACCAAGGGATCGTTCTTTGCCACGAAATTGGAAAATTGCGCACACTACTCATCCGATTCCACTATTTAATAGAAAAGGTGAGCCGCGCTCAAAATATACTCACAAATCGCAACCTATTGAAGTCTTTCGTGATTTTTTTTTCCAGATTACATTATAGAAATTATCGTAGAACAGACTAATAGATACGCTCGCCAAAAAAATTCTAAAAAATGGACTCCCGTAACGTCACAAGATATCCAGGCTTATTTAGGCGTCTTAATAGTGATGGGCCTCAATCCTTTACCAGACATATAACTGTACTGGTCGAGCGACACTTTTTTCAATGACACAGAGATTTCACGAACATTCACCCTTGCGAGATTTAAGAACATAATAGAAAATTTACACTTAAATGACAACCAATTCGAACCACCAAGAGAATCACCTAATAGCTACGAACTACCACTCGGATCTTCCACATTGCGATAGTGGTTCAAACCGAGGTTCGTACCTCCTTCTGAGGGGCCCTTGAACCATATCGAGGCCCTCCCCCTCCCCCCCCCCCCCCCTTCCAGCTAGAGGAGCCTCACTCCGGAAGCAGGGGCCGCGGTGCCTCGCGAGTGCAGTCGGCGTCCGCCAGCAGAATCGTTGCACTCAATAACTCGCAGGTCCTCGCTTACGAGCCTTATTCGATGAAGCTCTCAAGGCCGCAGCGCTACTAGCGTACACTTTCAGAAAAAAAACCACTCTGAGCGTTGGCCGCTCCCCGGACATAATACTTTGCCCAGCGGGAGATCGCCCTTTTTCCTTTCACGCCTTTAAGCTGGTATTCTGTGAGAGCGTGGTCTTACCCCGGTCGAGCCGACCCATTCGTGCTCTCCCTATACTACTAATATAGCTGCAGCATGGCTCTACAACGTACAGAAATGCTATGCTTTTACGAATTTAAATGCGAAATGATGTGCTACGAATTTAAGTTGTTTGGGGATTAGCATCCAGGGCCTCCATAAAACTGTCCAGATCTTGGAGTCTCCGGAAACTTTGTGCAAAGATTGTTACAGACGGTTCCTGAGAACTTTAAACTACAAAAAAATATTACGATTGGATTTCGTAGGTTAATAGTGGCCTAAGTTACACCTTATAAAATTAGGTGACTAGTGAAAGTACCGTCAAAATCAGTCCGGTTTTAAAAATTATTGTGTGTCTATCAGACCGAAAGATAGACAGAATCCACAAAAATCTCAAGTACAAAGACAACAGTTGTCGAATATGCAGAAAATGTCTATGAACGTGTTCAAGATCAACCCCAACATTACAATAGATTTTATTGACCACAAGTCCTCGCAAAACACCGATTCCTACCATGGATGAGTCTCGAGGCTATTGAAATTAAAAAAAACATCCTAATTTCAACAGAGAAGGACGATGGGTGCTATTATGTACGTGGGATCCTATAATTAATAAAATGAAATCCAAACCCAAGCATACCACTGCAAAACTTCAAGATACTGTGAGCTCATTTTGCGTTGATCGAACCAAAAATTAATATTCAAAAACTGAAGGTAGCCGGGCTATCAGTGACATAGGGACGTCAAACTCTTCAGGCAATCGTGAAGTTAGTTCCGTGAATTAGTTGAAATCCGTAAAATTAGTTTCATTTTAAAAGCACGGTATCAAAAATCAAACATATTGCGCCGGGATGTAAAAACAGTTATTGAATGGGTACAAAATCCATTTAACATCAGAAGTCAACATGCGATGTTAACCGGCTTGGATTATGAAGATAGATCTTCAAAGTACATCCACATTAAAACACACTTATGAGTCTGTACATATGTTTGTAACACTGCAGCAACCAAAAATGCTCCTTATACAATGTTATTTATTTTTTATCTCTTTATCTTGCTTCCGTTTATCGCAACGTATACTTGTGAAACAGGTTTGTCAGCTTACACTTATACAAAACAATTCAGATCGCGATTGGACGCTGCCCCACATATGCGCATACAACTGTCGGACAAAACCGAACTCTGAAGCAATCTCTATCTTTACATAGAATAAATCAAAGTCGCTTCCCGTCGTCTGTATGCTTAGATCTTTTAAACTACGCAACAGATTTTGATGCGGTTTTCATCAATAAACAGTATTATTCAAGAGAAAGGTTTATATGTATAATACATGCATATTAAATATAATATAATTCTTCTGTCCGTGTGTATGTAACTGAACTCCTAAACGGCTGGACCGATTTTGATGAAATTTTGTGTGTGTGATTAAGTTGATTAGAGAATGGTTTAGATTCACAATTGGGCGCGGTAGGTGGCGTTGTTGTCGAGATACAGAAATTAATAGTGCGAAGCCAGCAGGGTAGGTCGCTAGTTATTGATAAAACAGTGAAATAATTTCATTCATTAAAGTAAAGAATAAAGTGTTTTATTTTTAAAATACTTCCAATATAAGTTTTTGTACTTATTTAAACTACAGCGCCTTCGATTTGTAATCATTTGATATGGGGTCAATAAAAGGTATTTGGTGGGTTATCTTAAAAGTTTCCTAAGGTAGTGAATTTATTTTGCGCCGTCACTATACGGAAAATTGGACTTCATCGTCATCATCATCATTACAGCCTTTCACAAGTCCACTACTGAACCTATGCCTAATGAGGAGTCGCCCTATACTTCGCCTATCGGTGCCAGAATGTTGCTGCTTATTCAATGTGAAATGTTCGCGTAAACATAAGAAAAACACTATGAATAAAAATATTGTCTACACTATGAATAAAAATATTGTCTACACTATGAATAAAAATATTGTCTACACTATGAATAAAAATATTGTCTACACTATGAATAAAAATATTGTCTACACTATGAATAAAAATATTGTCTATACTATGATAAAAATATTGTCTACACTATGAATAAAAATATTGTCTACACTATGAATAAAAATATTGTCTACACTATGAATAAAAATATTGTCTACACTATGAATAAAAATATTGTCTACACTATGAATAAAAAAGTTTCTGAACTTTTTTTTTCAATTATTATTTCGAGGTATCCTCCAGATGGGTTTTGAATCTATAAGTCAACTATTATAATCACCACGCAAAATGGTATTTTTTGGGTTCCGCTGCCTCAGACATCTGTCTGTCAGGGGCTGTATTTCATGATTCGTAATAGGTAGACTGTTAAAATTTTCACAGAATGTGTATTTATGTTGCCGCTATAACAACAAACAAAAAAAAATAAATTAAAATTAAAGGAGGCTACCACAAACGTGTATTACGATGGTACGGAACCCTTCATGCGCGAGTACGAGTCACACTTGGCCGGTTATTTAATAAAAGTAAGGATTACATATGAGCACACAGTCCATCTGATGGTAAGTATACGCTGTGGCGTATATTCGTCGAGGAAAAACAATGAAAAGTATAGAAAACTATAATCTAAAACTCACCACCAACTCCCCATCCAACCACTCCCAGGCCGTTGATCATTGTTGTGTGACTGTCCGTCCCCACCACGGAGTCTGGATGAAGGATGTCGTTGGTGAACACAACTCGAGCCAGGTACTCCAAGTTTACCTGGAAACAAATAGTTGAAAGGATATAACTGTTACCGTTACAGCCTATAAAAGTCCTCTATTGAACATAGGCCTCCCTCATAGATTGTCTCATAGGGGGGATTTGTCATAGTTGTAATGTTACTGTTGATTTAATAATTTCATCTTTCAATAAGTCATGAGCTCCTGGTAGATTATCTTCTATAGATCTATCTATCTATTACAGCCTATTAAAGTCCACTGATGAACATACGCCTCCCCCATAGATTGCCTCATAGGGGGGATTTGTCATAGTTGTAATGTTACTGTTGATTTAATAATTTCACCTCTCAGTGGGTCATGTGCTCCTGGTAGATTATCTTCTATACATCCATCCATTACAGCCTATTAAAGTCTACTGCTGAACATAGGCCTCCCCCATAGATTGCCTCATAGGGGGAATATTTGCCACAGTTGCCACGCTTAGTAAGCTGGTTGGCAAGCGCAGTTTTTTATTTTTATTTTTTACCAAGAAGACGCTGTTACCCGTCTTCTGATTTGTCTCCCTCTGTCGGGATGATATGGGCCAGTGGATATTCTTACACCGACACTACACTGTAACTACATGGACAAAATATAAACAGGCGGCGTTAGAGAATCCTCATCCTAGCATTTTGTGCTAGCCGTAAGAAACAATAGAGGAAATCTAAAATATAAGGCAGCAACCTTGTCTCGATAACAATTTAATCAAAATTGCAGTTGTCAACCCATTGTTATATGTGGTAGAGCCATGCAGCTATATTATGGTTGTAGCACTAATATGTCAGACTCACTCGAGCGGGGTGGGATCACACTCTCACAAAATACCAGCGTAAAATAGCAGCTTAATACTGCTGTTTCGTATGGTGAGTGAAGAGTACTGGAGACCCTTTTTACTGGAAAAGAGGCATTCCATCCTCGCGGCTGACAACGCATTTTGATTCTTAACCGATGATGGATGCAGATGTCTATAGGCCACAGCGTTTACTTACCATCAGGTGGACCAGCTCGTCTTTCACCCTTATAGTATAAAAAACCTATTGAAGCAGTCTATGCAACCTCCTTAGACTTTGTTCAGCAGTTGAGTTGTGATAAACTGTAATAAATAAATGAAGCAGTTCATTGAATTTGCTATATCTACTTGTTTTCACCATACAACTATACATCTCCCGTTTGTACAAAAGTACGTCGGGAGAAGAAGTCCTGCGTTTTGTGGTAGAAAAATACCGCATAGAGAATCTGATTCTCTTTACATTCGCAGCGTCTGGGGTATAATAGGTCAAAGAGCTTCATATCACATAAACACAAAGGACATTCCTCGCTCCCGATTTCTGGCTCTCTGTGGTAGTGTTTCGCCGATACAGGGATGCGCCAAAAAAGAAAGTTCCCTAAATAGTGTTATGTATATCTTTTATATAGGTATTTTTAGGTTAATGTATATATTGCTATGCGCCAATGTTCTTAATTTTTAAGTCCTTGATGCTTGAAATAAAGTTATTGTATTATATTGTATTTGATACAAAGGTAAGGTCCAGCTTAAACAACTAGGGTTGAATCCAATAACCATGAATGTAATGACTATTTAGTTACTAAAGGTATTTTTTTGGTTATAATTTGGCAGCGTCTGTCGTTCCGTCCAATTACAATCTGGGTGTCTTCAAGACAAGCGTGAATAAGGCTTTTGTATTTTTGTATCTAAGGCAGTGAAATTTACCATCTCGGGGCTTCATCACCAATTACCACCAGGTGAGGTTGTAGTCCAGCACTAGCGTAAGTAAAAAAAATCAAAGATGCAGACATAGATTTAGTATATACTTGCGTTAGATCGCCAATGTAAAAGAGAAAAAGTATACGCTTACGCTTACGTTAGAGCGAGATAGAAAAGTTAAACCATTTACGTACACGCTATCAGCCTGTATCAGCCTGACGTCAATTGTCAACGAAATAAATCCCGTTAATTTTCGCGATATTTTTGATTTTGAAGTATTAGTAAGTGTTTAAAAGGTGTGATTACATATGGTGACGTGTGCAGTACCTGAATGCAATTTATCTAAAAAAGAAAATCCACAAGACTATAGATTTCACACGTAAATACACTGTAGAAATATAAGAATACTTTAGGAATATATTAGAAACTAGCTGTGCCCGCGGCGTAGCTCGCGTATATAGGTTTTACTTGGAGAATTTGACATTCAGGTAAGAAAATATTAAACGATTTATATCATTACTGTATCAATATCACTTATTAGACGTCAGTGTAACAGACATCTCTGGTTAGTGCGTATATACACTAAGCGCTCAGTCTCTATTTTCGCATACATGTCCACTATAAATTGGTAAAACAACTCCCGAAATCTTTGCAGATACGCAAGAAGATATATGCCTTACATGTAACAGGTGCGAATAAAATTGCAGAGCAAATATTTTTTTATTAAAATTGGTCTCTCTGGTCTCGCCGCAATTCAGAAAACAACGTAATTTGTACAATGCCATCTATTACGTTCGTAGTGAGAAAACTTTTTTAATTTAAGGAAAACATCTTTTTTATTGTTTACTTTGTTTTAAGTATAAATATATTATTATAGAACGTTTTTTTACACACAAATCTTTTTATTACTTTTTCTGAGATTTTATGGCGCCATTGAACAAATTAGAACCTACATTTTAAACTAATAATCATAATTTTCGATAGAATTAACCAAATTTAATAAAACAAAAATTAAATGTAACTTCAAGATACGCTTTATGATTTTCTTAACGATTTCTTTTAAAAAAATGTTTACTTTAGATGTGATGCGTTTATAAACAAACAGACAGACAGACAGACAATTCTAAAAATTATAAAAATGTGTTTACTTAATTATTTTCATTTCCCTATAATGATTTTAGTGACAAATATTCTATACAATGTACAAAAACAGACAACATGTTATCACCATTTTTATTATAAGTATATATTTAAAGAGAGATGGCGCTGCTAACAGCAATCAATTCTAAAATAAAAGAGATTAATTGACGCGATTGGTACATTATTATATATATAAAACATAAACTTATCAACCAGTGTCTGCATAGTAAGCAAAACGCCTTTTTATATTACATTTGGACCATACCGCCATCTATCGATGAAATAGGTTAACTATTTCACTTTAGATTTAGTTAATAAGCTTATAATATATTTTTGTATATTATTTTATTTAATACGTTCTTTAATACTTTTGTTTATTGCGTTTTAGATATAATTATATCATTATAGAACATTATTTTACCTAATTTAATTATGATTTATGATATAGTATTAGTTTAAAATGCACTTGATGATTCAACCAACGCCACCGTTGAACAAATTCGTACCTATACTTCGTATTCATACTTCAGAATATTTATCATAACTTTTGATTGAATGAACTGATTTTAATAAAATAAAGACTAAATGTAACACGAAGATACACTTTATATTTTCCTTAATTATTCTTATGATATAAATTAGTACTTTATACGTGATACGTTAACAAACAAACAGACAGACAGATAGACAGACAGACAGAAAATTCTAAAAATGGTAGAAATGTATTTAGTTACTTATTTTTAGTACCTCTCAATCACTTTTATTACAAAAATATAAAATGTACAGACGTCTGCTTTTTACATTTTTATTATATGTATAGATGTATACTATATTTCTATAGATGCAGAGCATCCAAAATGTCCCAGTTAATATTTTTATATAAAAAAAAGTTGCTATAAAAATTGTTTCTTAATAAAACTGGTGACTACGAATGTTTATAAATTAAAATCTTCTGTCCGTTTGTATGTGACCTCTCCTAAGCGACTAGACTGATTTTGTTGAAATTTTGTGTGTGTGTGTGTGTGTGTGTGTGTGTGTGTGTGTGTGTGTGTGTGTGTGTGTGTGTGTGTGTGTGTGTGTGTGATTAAGTTGATTCGAGAATTTATTAGATTCACCACTGTACCCGGTAGGTGGCGCTGTTGATCGCTAGTATTTTATAAAAAAAACGTAAATGTGGTTTAAATAATGATGACAACCTCATCCACAACCTCTCAAGTCCTCAAAATAAAATGTAATGGTGGACTCACTTGATGTACAATACCGGAGCCGGGTGGAACAATCAGCATGTTGTCAAACGATTGAGCGCCCCACTGAAAAAAGAATAATTTAAAGTTAAAAATGTTGTACAACCGACTTCAATATAAATTATCAAGGATAACTCAAAAACTATTGGGCGGACCTTGATCATACATTTATATGGGACCACATGAGAGCCGTGGTAGCTCAGATGGTTAGCGCTCGCTGTAGGTTTCACAGTACGCGAGCAACCCGGGTTCGATCGCCGCCGGCACCAATGAAATTGTTAATTTCAATTTTAAGTGCTGATTTAACACGTGCTCGGCGGTGAAGGAAAAAATCGTGAGGAAACCTGCATGTCTGAGAAATAAAAAAAATCTAAAATATTTCGAAGACATGTGAAGTTCGCCAACACGCATTGGGGCAGCGCGGCGGACAATTCCTTGCCCTAAAACCCACTCAGAAATGAGAGGAGGCCTGTGCCCAGCAGTGGGACGCATATAGGCTGCAACTTTTACATGAGAAACACTAGCTTTCAAATACAATAAGAATCATCAAAATCGGTTTACGTAGAAAAAAGTTCTGAGGTAACAAACATTAAAAAAAAACAAAAGAAAAATACAATCTAATTGAGTACCTCCTCACGGCTGACAACGCATCTGCATTTTATATAATGTTTGATATAATATATATATATTATATCCCATAGTGAAAAGCGAGTTTTATTCTCATGTTACTCGACTCCAGAGTCAGTGATTCCTTTGTAGCAGCGCTGTCGCCGCGCCACAAGCGAAACACATCGAAGCCTAAATCGCGCTAACAAAGTTCCGAAGTTAAAGCAGCATAATATATAGAATAGCTCCGAACTACCACTCGGAGCGTTGGCCGCTCCCCGGGCAGAACACCTTGCTCGGCGGGAGATGTCCCCTTTTCCTTCCACAAGCTACACATTCATGGAGCAATGTATACGCTTTAATAACAAAGTCCCAGAAAATATGCAGACTTTATCTATCAAAAACTTAAAAATTTTTACTAAGCAAAAATTGTACAGTAAGGGTTGTTATACTGCTGATTGATAACAACCCCTGGTATGAGGTGATCGCTACCATGCTGTTTCTAATGTCTTCATAAGAATTGTATAAAATAATATATTATAAATTGATTTTATTTTTAAAAACTAGACCTGCTAGGTTTTTCGCTGGTTCTTACCAGAACAAAGGTATTTTCCGAACCATTAATAAGAGTTTAAATGACTTTCAAAAAGTGTTCTTGTAATTTGTATTGAGTAAAAACGATTCTATTATATTATATTCATTGGATTTTTGACAGCCTGTATGACAATAAAAGAAATAGTTATGTAATATAATTAAAAATTAAAAAAATTGTACAACCGACTTCAATATAAATTATTAAGGATAACTCAATAACTATTAGTCAGACCTTGATTAAATTTATATGGGACCACATGAGAAGCACCAGCTTTCAATTAAAAAAAGAATCATCGAAATCGGTTCTCCTAGAAAAAAGTTATGTACAAATAATAAAAAACATACAGTCAAACTGAGCACCTCCTGCTTTTTGAATTTGGTAGAAAAATGGTGTAATTTGCCTCTAACTACAACAAAACATTCCTATGATCATATTATACATGCATTACTTAACAGTATTTAATGTAATCCATCTAATAATCGGGTTCTTGACTGGTAGGCATGTACCGATAAGCTAAGTGTAAGGTGGCCCCCCACAGGATCGTCTCTCCAGACGACATGGTAAGTAATGCAGGAAGTCGATGAATGCAGGTTGTTCAGGAATGTGTGGCATTCCTTGGGGGAGGCCTATGTTCAGCAGTGGACTTATGAAAGGCTGTAATGATGATGATGATGACGATGTAACATCCAATGTGATGCATGTTTATTATAACGAAATGTTTTGTGGTAGTTTTCAGATTCCTAAAGTGGGTTCCGTGGAACCTTAGGGTTCCGTGAAAGTCGCCAGGGTTCCGCGAAATTATTTATTTTTGCTCGTTAAATAATTTCACACTAGATACAAATATGATGTTTATAATAGCGCAAAATATGTAATGAGAAGAAACCATTACTGCTATGTATGTACGTAGATAGTTATCGAAAATTGTATTATAATATTTCACTGCACTGTCTATATGTAATCATTTGATATGAGATTCCATAAAATAAAAGGGATTTGGTGTGTTCCATTACCTTAAAAGTTTGGTAACCCCTGAGTTAGAGGCACATTTACACAGTATATTTAATTGACATCTATATTTTTTTAATACTAGTAATGTTATTACTAGTATTCCCTTTAACCACTTCTGGTAAACTTAAAATGCTTGTATTAGAAGTGGTTCACGACAGTGGTCGAATGGCGGATTCGAACCCACGACCTTTCCAGTTCGCGGTCCGCGCCCTACCATTAGGCTACTGACGCTTTAAATCTATAATATATAATGGATTTCTACAAATGAATCCCTGATTCTATTGATTACTTTTAAACTGTAAAAAAAATAAAATATATATATATATATATTATTACTTTTGGAAGTAATAAGTATATATTTTTAAATTATCACAGAACATTACGAATTCAAGAAAAGAGCTTTTACACCTTTCTAAAAGGCTGGCAACGCATCTGCAATGCCCCCGATGTTGCGGTTGTTCATGTGCGGCGGTCGACACTTACCATCAGGTGAGCCCCATGCTCGTTTGCCACCTCTTCTATAAAAAAAAAACTTAATGTCTGAACAAATGCAACTTACCTTCAAAAACTGAAACCGCTCCTTATTCCTCACAAATTCCAGATCTTGATTTTTATTTAAAGCTTCCGGCCTGAAAAAGAAACAGATAACGCATGGTAATTACCTAACAAACGCCGGGGTCAAGGCTCAACTCGATATGACTTAGATATTTGGTGTTGCACCACTGAACAACTACTTGCAGTTTTAATATAAAAGTGGAATATTTAGAGACTTTATTTTACGTCGTAGAGTCTTTTTTTATTTATTTTACGTGGTAGAGCCATGCTGCCGCTATATTAATTGTATAGTTGTAGCACGAATGGGTCGGCTCGACCGGGGAAGGACCACGCTCTCACAGAATACCAGCGTGAAATAGCAGCTTAATGCTGCTGTGTTTCGTATGGTGAGTGTAGAGAACCGGTGACCCTTTTTACTGGAATAGAGGCATTCCATCTTAGTCCTCACGGGTGATAACGCATCTGCATTTTGAATCGCAAACGAACATAGATGTAGAAGTCTATGGACCACAGCAACCACTTACCATCAGGTGGACTGTGTGCTCGCTCGTCACCCTTATCATCCTCAGAGGCTCAACTCAGAGGTACCTCGTTTAAAGCTGGACGGCATCAGAGCCAGTTGAACTTATGGTGCAAATATGAGTCTCTGAGAGATGACTACCTAAATATTTGTGCCATTTGCTGTAGAGACTATCGGGTCGTGGGTCTACGTGCGGTGAAGTTCCTAAAGGAACTCTATCCGCGGCTGGTCGTTGCTGCTGGTGATAAGAGGGCTGGTTCTTTTCTCGCTCAAAGGCAAAGTATAGCCATTCAGCGAGGAAACGCAGAAAGCGTTACAGACACGATACCACGGGCAGTAGGACTATATGGTATTTAAGTTTTTAGTTATACTTTTTTTTATTATAATTTTTAATATTTATATATATTTCAATTATATACCCACGCTGCAGCTATATAATGGTTGCAGCACGAATGGGTCGGCTCAACCGGGGTAGGACCACGCTCTTACAGAATACCAGCGGAAAATAGCAGCTAAACGTTGTTGTGTTTCATATGTTGAGTGTAGATAACCGGAGACCCTTTTTACTGGAAAAGAGGCATTCCATCTTAGTCATCATGGGTGACAACGCATCTGCATTTTAATACTAAATCAAGGTTGGGGATAGATGTAGGTAGATGTAAGTGTATATTTACCACAGCACGTGCAATGTGCTTGTTTGTCACCCTATAAAAAATATACGCTGTGTTTGTATGTATTTTAAGGAGAGTGACGCGTCTTAATTGTGAACACTTGACTGCCTCGTCTGTCTAGTGGTCGTGAACGTGACTGTTGATCATGAGACCCCGGGTTCGAATCCAAGGTCGGCCAATTCTTTGTCAAGAAATTCTCAGTAGCAGTCCGGAGTTAACACTTGATTTTAACACTTCCTGCCTCATTGGTCTTGAGCCCGGAGTAAGTTATTTGATTTTGTGTTGTTTTTTTAAATAACTGGCTTTACGGCTCTGGATTCTAGCCCTTCTGAGCCTGAAGTTAAAATGTATAATTATCCTTCATAGTACACTGCGTCACAATATGTTGATGCGTCACATTGTGCAGCCCTTGGGAGATTTTGACGGCAACTTGAGCCAGCAGACAGCTGACAGTTGGCGATGGTATCTCAAGGCACCTAAGTAGATAGACACCTTATCTTGACAATCACATCACCATCAGAGCACTTGTTTCACAGTTTCCACTAATAGTTCACATGCGCAGACACTTAATACACAAAATCGCTAAACTTTTACATATTAAAATCCACATCAAAGCATTATTTTAACAATAATACAGGAGCATATAGTCAGAGCACATAGGCAGAATTGGCGAGAAACTAGTTCACCTTCCTTCGGGAATCCACCCTTCACTACCATCACTACCATCTATGCACAGGGAGGACGACTCACTGGCCCAAGACGCAAAAGATAAAGCCGACCTTTTAGGCTCCCTTTTTGCGTCCAACTCGACTCTTGATGACGGGGGGAAAACACCGCCGACCATCCCGCGGTGTGAGTGCTCCATACCAGATATGCTGTTCTCACAGCGCTCGGTTCGCAAAGCACTTCTCTCCCTGGACATCCAGAAGTCGAGTGGGCCTGACGGAATCTCCCCAATTGTGCTGAGGACGTGTGCTCCGGAGTTGGCACCGGTCCTAACGCGTGTTTTCCGGTACTCCTACTCCCAAGGCGTAGTCCCGAAATCATGGAAGACGGCTTTGGTCCACCCGATCCCTAAAAAAGGCGACCGCTCAGACCCGTCCAACTATAGGCCTATCGCGAGCACCTCCTTCTTCTCCAAAATAATGGAATCAATTATTAACTGCCAGCTCATGCGGTACCTTGAGAATCACCAGCTGATTAGTGACCGCCAATACGGTTTTCATCGGGGTCGATCAGCTGGTGATCTTCTGGTCTACCTGACCCATAGATGGGCAGAGGCAGTAGAGTCCAAGGGGGAGGCGTTGGCCGTTAGTTTGGACATTGCGAAGGCCTTCGATCGGGTTTGGCACAAAGCGCTTCTTTCGAAGCTCCCTTCCTATGGGCTTCCTGAGAAATTGTGCGATTGGATCACCAGCTTCCTTGCAGATCGGAGCATCAAGGTCGTTGTAGACGGTGCATGCTCCGAATACAAGCCTATTGACGCTGGTGTTCCACAAGGCTGTGTGCTATCACCAACGCTGTTTCTTCTGCATATCAATGATATGTTGCTAACTGGTAACATTCATTGCTATGCGGATGACAGCACTGGTGATGCTCTATACACCGGCCGTGCCAATATTTCTCGGGAAAACGTCGCCGAGTACCGGAACAAACTTGTGTCTGAAGTCGAGTCTTTGCTGAACAAAGTTTCGGATTGGGGGCGACTAAATCTAGTCCAGTTTAATCCTCAGAAGACACAAGTTTGCACGTTTACCGCTAAAAAGAACCCCTTTGTCGTATCTCCTCAGTTTCAAGGCACTCCCTTTCTTGCCTCAGCCAGTATCGGAATCCTCGGAGTCGACATATCGAGTGACGTGCAGTTTCGTGGTCTCTTGGAAGAGAAGGCCAAATTGGCCTCTAAAAAGCTTGGCGTGCTCAGCAGAGCGGGACAGTATTTCATGCCGGCACACCGCCTGCAACTTTACAAGGCACAGGTTCGGCCTCACATGGAATACTGTTCCCATCTCTGGGCAGGGGCTCCCCAGTGCCAGCTCCTTCCACTTGACCGCATCCAGCGCAGAGCGGCTCGAATCGTCGACTACCGAGTCCTTTCCGATCGGCTCGATTCATTGGCACTGCGAAGAGATGTTGCATCCCTTTGCATTTGCTTTCGCATCTACCACGGGGAGTGCTCTGAGGAATTGTTCGGATTAATCCCAGCCTCCAAATTTCACGAACGCACATCGCGGCGGAACTCCCGATACCATCCACACCATCTGGATGATTGGCGGTCCACCACTGTGCGATTTAGAAGATGTTTTCTTCCTCTCACGACTTCCTTGTGGAATCGATTACCATCAGCGATTTTTCCCGGACCGATACGACTTAGGGACCTTCAAGAAAAGAGCGTACTCCTTTTTAAAAGGCCGGCAACGCATCTGCGATTCCCTCCTTGGTGTTGCAGCTGTTCATAGGCGGCGGTAGTCACTTACCATCAGGTGAGCCGCATGCTCGTTTGCCCCCTCTCCTATATAAAAAAGCAGCAACCCGTCGCCGGTCAAGTTCCCGCCAAAACTCCTTCTGTGAAGAAATTCTCAGTAGCTGTTCAGAGTCAGGAAGTTGGCTGTGTCTCACTCCCGTGCCTCGGAAAGCACGTAAAGCCGTTGGTCCTGCGCCTGATCGCTCTACGGTCGTGTCGGTTTACCGTGCCATCGGACTATGACAGTGAGACAATAGAGAGTGCACCTGTGCCGGCGCATACACTCGTACAAGTGGTGGATCTCCTTTGGGACCGGCCTCCGTGACCGAAATTTAGTAAAAAAATATTACTTACGATCTAGAAAAATCAACTTGAACCGAATGATCAATAACTAAGTCAGCTGGGCATATGGGGTTGATTTTGTCTGGATTTCCACCAAGGCCTTTCATCGCTTCCCTCATCGCTGCAAAATCTACTATAGCGGGAACTCCTGTTAAGTCCTGTAAAAGAAAAAATAGTTACTTGGGTTCCTCCAGTCATTTTTCGAAATAGGTTTTGTTGGTTTACCTTATAAAAGCCAACTATATCAAATTTATATACACAAGACAAAAACTTATAAGGAGAATTATTGTGTCCACACAATCATATCTTTTTACCTGTCAACCGTAGCAACTATGGCAAAATCCTCCCTTTGAGGCAATCTATGGGGGACGCCTATGTTCAGCAGTGGACTTTAATAGACTGTAATGGATGGATGTATAGAAGATAATTTACCAGGAGCACATGATCCACTGAAAGGTGAAATTATTAAATCAACAGTAACATTACAACTATGGCAAAATATCCTCGATGAGGCAATCAATGGGGGAGGTCTCTATGTTCAGCGGTGGACTTTAATAGGCTGTAATGGATGGATGGATGTATAGAAGATAATGTACCAGGAGCACATGACCCACTGACAGGTGAAATTATTAAATCAACAGTAACATTACTAATATGACCAAATATCTCCCTTATGAGGCAATCTATGCGGTAATAATCTATATTCAGGGTAATAATCCTATGTTCAGTGGTGGACTTTAATAGACAGTTAAAGTTATGAAATAATGTTAAATCATACTTTATTCTTATATTATAAAAATATATAGAAGCCCCACCTGAAGTATTACTCTAGCAGGCTTGAACGCAATCTCAATTCCACCCTCCACCGTCTGGTTGGTCTCCCAGTCCAAAACATTGTTAACATCCTTCTCCAGGACTTGGAAGTTGTCGCAATTGCGTACGCACGACTCGAGGAGCACCCTAATGCTGAACGGCAGACGATCTGGAAATGGAAAACAAGACTGTAAAGTCACTATGTTATCACACGTAAAAGAAAAGTGAAGTTTTTGCCTCGGCTGGCTCTTAATAAAGCTTTATTTCCTCAAACTTCTTTATTTATTTTGTCTTCCCCACTGTTAACTGGTAGAGAATATCATATGGCATTCTTCTTCTTTCTGTAACCCCCCTAGTTGAAGGTGTGTTGCAATAAAGAATAAATAAATATAAAAAAAAATATCTTCAGCATGCCTCTACCACGTATCAGAATAACTGGAATATCGAAATAATCCGACAAGAATACAAAAAAAGAAAAGCAAAAATATATTTGAATAGTATTAAATAACATACTGACATAAAAAGTAAAACCTTATAAGGCAATTATATTTGCTATAATATCGTATAAAAGTATTAAAAATCTGTTTAATATGTCATCAATCTGTTTATCCTGTTTCTGCGTGAGAGCGTAGTCGAGCCGGACAATTCATGCTGCAAACCATAATACAGCTGCAGCGTGGCTCTACAACATAGGTAGGTATCTTTTTCTGCCTTATAATACGTAGGTACTCGGTTGGTACCTTCTTACCTATTTCTACCAACAAACAGCAATACGTGCACTGCTGTATTACAGTCTGAAGGATATAGGGAGCCAGCAATTGCAGGCTGTGAGGCTTTCTATCTTAGTCCTCAGAGGTGACAACGCATCTGTAGCCATCTTTGCAGGTGTCCATGGACTGCAGTAATTTTGACTATACCTTTGCCATCATGTTGACTATAATTATACTGACTCTCTATACCCTTCCGAACACAGCGGTGCAAGTAGATGTACAAGTCGCGGCACGTAAGTCTAGCGCTGAACGAAACGTGGAATTCAATTCGTGTGCGTGGCGACGCACACGAATTAAATTGCACAAATGCGACTGGAGAGCCGCACGAGCCAATCAGCACCACTTATGCGCTATATGCCAATCAGCGCTATTTCCACGCAATAACGGTCACCGCTAGACTTTCATGCCGCTACTTATAGTAGTTGGCGGCAAAAATAGGTAAGAGATTAACCTTACATCTTTCACGCTGTTTAGTATGGTGATTGGAGAGAACAGGAGTCACCTTTAACTGGAAACGAGGTATTCCATCTTAGTCCTCAGGGGTGATAACGCATCTGCATTTTCATTCTTAACCGAGGATACATGTAGAAATCTATGGGCCACAGCAATCACTTACCATCAAGTAGACTGTGTGCTCGTTTGTCACCTTTAACTTATAAAAAAATTAAATTCGTCAATGTAATTCACGGGTTACTTCTTAGGCACTGAAATGGGACTTCCTTATTAGCAGGTGGCATTAATGACTTTCAAATAGAATTCTTGTAACCTAAAAGTTATAGCCTATACAAGTACCACTGCTGGGCACAGCCCTCTCATTTCTGTGAGGGTTTTAGGGCAAGGAAATGTCCGCCGCACTTCCGAACTTCACATGTCTTCGAAATATTTGTCTTATTTCACAGACATGCAGTTTCCTCACGATGTTTTCCTTCACCGCCGAGTACGTGGTAAATCAGTAATTACAATTCATTGGTGCTCGCGGGGATCCGGCTACTCGCGTACTGTGAAATTTACAGTGAGCGCTTAGCCCCTGAACTACCACGGCTCTTGTAATCTTCTAATTCTTGTAATCTATCTATATTTAACAAAAAACTAGCTGTTCCCCGCGACGGAACGGGCGACGCGGGGGAAGCATGTAATTTAGGGTTGTAATTTTTTTGCACGGAAGCCCAATTCTTTTTTCTAAAATAAGTAACTTACGTTACTCCTTATAACATCAGCTATCTCCCAGTGAAAGTCCCGTCAAAATAGGTGTAGTCATTTCGGAGTTTAGCCGGAGCAAACAGACAGACAGACAAAAATTTTAAAAATTGTGTTTTTGTTATAAGTAACGTATGTACTTTCATATGCATTTAATAAAAACTGTTATTTTTACATTACAAACAGACTTCAATTTTATTTACTCGTATAGATTTATTCTATCATACTTTATCCCGTATAAATAGTTTTATCTGTAGCATTATTTGTACTTAACATTAAATGGACTATTGCCACATTTATCGATCGATTCAAAATTAAAAAACAACCTCGGACTATGAAGCGAGCTTGTTTACGATAAATTCTGTTGGTAACAATCAAACAATTATGCAACAATTACATACTCGTAATAACATGACCTGTGCTCCGCTCCGCCCTTGACGAATCTTATTTTAAAATCAAATGATAAATTGTGTCACTCTTACACTATCCATTAAAAACATACATGTTTATTCAAAACATATATGTTACGTACATTATGTTTACGTTATACGTATATTGGGTCGACTCGCGAAGAACCACGCTCTTACAGAATACCAGCGGAAAATAGCAACTTAATGCAGCTGTTTCGTATGGTGAGTGTAAAGAACCTTTTTACTGGAAACAAGGCATTCCATCTTAATCCTCATGGTTGACCACGTATCTGCATTTTGATTCTCAATCGTGGAGAAATGCACAGGGCTATGGTCCTTATTCTATAAAAAAATTATTACGTACATGAAATTACGCGGGTAGTATTTTGGATTGATATATCTTTATTACTTTTCTACGGACTTCAAAAAGGAGACGGTACGCAATTCGACTGTATCTTTTTTATGTATGATGTTACCTTCATAACCTTTTTCGTGGTGAACCGATTTCAATGATTTTTTTTTTGTTTGAAAGCTGGTGCTTCTCATGTGGTCCCATACAAATTTGATCAAGGTCTGACCAATAGTTTTTGAGTTATTCTTAATCATCTATATTGAAGTCGGTTGTACAAAATTTTTAATTCTTTTTTTATATAATTAATGATGTCTTTTATTGTACACATAATATACGTATAGATATATAGTAGTGTAAAGGCGATGTAAAAAAATCCACCACCATATAGCGTCCCCGTGATCGCTTCGAAGCGGTTTCTTAAATAAGTTTTATAAGTAGTATATACAACCGGTATTTCATTGTATAAGTAAGTGCCGCTGAATTTCTTGCTGGTTCTTCCTAGAAAATAGTTTTTTCTGAACCAGTGGTAATAGTAAATAACTTAAATTAAAAATTTAAAAAACCCCCCGATACAAAAAGAGGTGATGATCTTCAAGCAGCTGAACAAGATACCAGAGTAAAATAGCAGCATTAAGCTGCTTTTTTTAGGCAGGTGCTTTTTTTACGATACGATGTAGATGTATATGGGCCACAGCAACCACTTCCAATCAGATGGACTGTGTGCTCGCATGTCACCTATTATGCCCCTTATCCTATTAAAAAAAATTTCTTGAATCATAGTCTCAATATCGATCGGTTCATTCATTTCACATATGCACAGATACACACGTTAAGGGCAGATGGATGTATTAAGAGGCGAGCGTCTTTCTAATAACAATTGAAAATAATAACAATCTATCTTCAAAACCATCTATGAGGGAGGCCTATATTCAGCAGTGGACTTTGATAGGTTATGATGATTTTTTTTATAGGATAGGGTGACAAACGAGCGCACAGTCCACCTGATGGTAAGTGGTTGCTGTGACCCATAGACATCTACATCTATTCTCGTTTACGAATCAAAATGCAGATGCGTTGTCACCCGTGAGGACTAAGATGAAATGCCTCGTTTCCAGTAAAAAGGGTCTCCGGTTCTCTACGCTCACCATACGAAACACAGCAGCAATAAGCTGCTATTTTCCGCTGGTATTCTGTGAGAGCGTGGTCCTTCCCCGGTCGAGCCGACCCATTCGTGCTACAACTATACTATTAATATAGCTGCAGCGTTGCTCTACCACGTATAAAATGATGATGAGTATGATGAATGTTTACTTGAATTATACATAAGCTGGTTTGTATTATTGTCTGTGTTAATAATACCTAAGGCGCTTCGCAAACGTGTACACACTTTTGTGTCTTATGTGGGATACAAGCTACCAATGAATATTTTATTTTCATATAATCAATATGAAACCGGCCACTCCCTGCGCAGTCGCTGACACTTTTTATGTCCAGGTGCTTCCACTTGACACATACCGTCCGCCAATCAAAGTGTTCGATGTCTATAACTGAAAACTAAAAGTCGTCAGTTGAAGACACAAGCAGCATTAACAAATTTCCTTACAATTGTACGGCGCTGACATTGACGTGCTTGATTGACCTGTAAATATTGACGGCGACGACGTCTACGTCGACTTATTATCAACACAACAAGCAAATGTTTCGTCATCGACATCCATTGTGATAAGGAAAGTCATTAATATAGACTAAGAACAGCAATGGCCCAATAATTGAGCCCTGAGGAACGCCCATTGATACTACTGATCCGGAGGAACCTTTACCATTGATATCTTTTTGAGTTCTGTTATTTAAATACGAAATAATAAATCTAAGCGCAATATTTTTGACACCGTACTGTTCTAGTTTCCTGATGAATATCTTATGATGAACATAACTATAAGCTTTCGAAAGATCACAAAAAATACCTAAGGCATCTTGTGAACTCTCCCAGGCATTAAAAATATATTTCATAAGCTCAACACCCACGTCAGTCGTTGAGGAACCCCTTGTGAAACCAAATTGATTTTTATGGAGTAATTTATTTTTAATAAAAATATTTAACAATTGATCTAAAATCATCTTTTCAAAAATTTTATTGAGAGTTAGAAGTAAAGAAATTGGTCTAAAATTAGCAGGGTCCAATGTACTACCAGATTTAAATAAAGTTATCACTTTACTATGTTTTATTAAATCAGGAAACACACCAGATTCGATAATAGTATTAAAATTAATAGCAAGATGAGGTGAAATTAAATCTATTATGATACGCAATAACTTTAACGCAATAGCCCATAAATCTGCGGTTTTCCTTACATCAAGGGTTTTGAAATATTTTACAATATCTTGTGGAAATACTTTTTCAAATCTAAATTCTTTTAAACAAGTATTAACATTCTGTTTG